ATCCAGGAGCCCAGAGGCAGAGATGGGAATTGGGCAACTGGGGTTCATTTCCTGATTTGCCCAGACTCGCTCAGTTGTCTGGAGAGAGTCACTTGACCTTTCTGGGCCTCAATTTCCCTAGTTAGGGACATGTCTCTTGTTTCTTCCAACATGGTTCAGAAGGAGCCTATAGTCTGGTGCCTCCCAGTGGCCATAAGCAGCATGGCCGTCCCAGAGGCCATCGGGAGCCCTGCTTACGTACTGACCCCTGCCTTGTCAGGGTGGCCCCCCCACAGACCAAGCCACTGCCCATGCAGCAGTTCCAGGTGATCCAGAGCTTTCTCCGCACGGTGCCCCAGGGAAGGAAGCTGGTGGAGGAGGTGAGCGTGGGGGTGGGCAAGGAGCTAGGGCAGTGGAAGGGATGGCCACTTCCCTCACTGGGGGGGCCTCCCCCATTCTCCTTGCCAATCCTTCCTTCTCTCCTGCTGTCTTCCCTTAACCCTGCCCTCCCCACCACTCCTGCCCTCCTCTTCCCTGCCCTGCCATCTGGCGCCAGGTGGACAGAGCCATCACTGCCTGTGGAGAGCTGCACAACCTGAAAGAAGTGGTTTTGGAGAACCAGAGGGAGCTGGAAGGCGCCCAGCTGGGGGGCGTGGCCCAGGTGAGGAGTGGGAGGGCAGCGTGAGAGTCTCTGCTCTGGCAGGAGCCCCACGGCCTGATTTTGTTAGGCCTGTTGACTGGTTTCTGTCAGACTGACTTCCTAGCTACTGTTTCTCCCTTAAGAAGAGAAGGGGAGATAGGGGTGCTCAGCTTGCCGGAAGGACAGAGAAGAGGGGAAGTTTACTTTCCCTGACCGGGTCCCCTCAACTACAGAATAAACAGGAATGGAGGAAGGGACTGCTGGCCAGGGCCTCTGGGTTCAGATACTTCCCAGATCACTCATGGCTCCCCCCACCAATAAAGCTCCTGGTGCTTCTTCGCAAAGACTGGGGTTTGGTCCAGCTGCTGCTCTGGAAGAGTGATGGGCTCCGAGCTCTCTGCAGACCCTTTGCCCATGCCTGGGAGAGGAGGTGGGCTTGACAATGTTTGTTCACAGTGCATGGAAAGAATCTAAAGTCTGAAGAGCTCTTCTTTAAGATTAAAATAAAATCTTTTAAAAGCAATATTCTATGATGAAAAATTGAGAAATTAAAGAAAGGAAAAATTTGCCCATAGTCCCAGCACAGCTGTTGTGAGCATTTTGGGCTGGTTTCTTCCATTTCCTGTGTTTATGGTATTCTTACGTACATTGCCCGGGCAAGCGGTTTGCACCCTGCTTGTGTAGTTTAACTGTACAGCCTCAGCCTTTCCCTTGCCAACACCTGGTTTTCATCACTGAGATTGCCACTGGCTGTGTAACTTTAGCCCTAGGCATGGTTCTGCCACCGTTGGGCTGACAGGAGTAGGGGAGGGGCTCTGACCCAGCCTCCAGGGGTGTGGTCCTGGTTCTGCCACTTGCAGGTGTGTGGACGTGGGCAACCACTGGACCACCCTGTGCGTTTGTTTCCCCATTTGTAAAATGGGGGCCATGATGATAACTACCTCATAGGGCGGCTGGGGAGGGGTTCAGGTGAGAAATAATACATGAAACACCCAGAAGGGAGCCTGACACAGAGCAGGTGTCCCTGGAATGTCACCTGTTGTGATTTACTAAACAACCGCTTCTTCTTGGACAGTTTGGTTGCTTCTAGCTCCTCAGCAGGGTAAATACTTTTGCATTGAGTACCTTCATGAAAATGAAGGCTTTTGTGTAGTTAAGATTTTTTCCTCTTAGTTTATATTAGGGGCCAGCAAATTATAGCTCCTGGGCCAAGTCCCACCTGTCACTATTTTTTTGGTAAATAAGTCTCATTAGAGCACAGTCTTTCCATTTACTGATGTACTATCTATGACTGCTCTTCCCTGTGATGGCAGAGCTGAGTAGCTGCAGTAGAGACTGAATAGCCTGTAAACCTAGATTATTTACTTTCTGGCCCTTTGTAGAAAGCGGGCCAGAGAACCCTAGTCAAGATTCCCAAGGATCGGATTAAACTTCATAAAAGGGTATGATTCTTCTTTAGGGTCTCACTGAATCTCACTTGCCCCTGACCTCACAGGGGCTTCCCGAGATCTGAGGGTTGAGAGATGGGCTCTTGGGGTTCTCTCTGACAGCCCACTATGCAGAGGGTACTGGGCTCTATTTGTCATCAGCTGTGTGACTTTGAGGAAGTCACTTCATTTCTTTGAGCCTCCATTTCCCCTCTGTAAATTAGGGATATTGATAATGCCCCCCCCCCCAGCACTATTATGGGAGTCTTTTCTTGTGGGGAGATTCCAGTTCTACAGAGGAGCCTTCTGGCTAAAGGGAGAGGGTGTTCATACATGGTTCCCTCTACGTGGAGGGTGCGTAGTCCTGACACTGAGGGAACTGTGGGAGCAGAGTGAAGGGCTGGGAGCCTGTTCTAGAGGCAGTCCCTTCGCACACAGGGCCTGGTGTGGTCTCCAGCAGACGTCCCTGCACCATGGGTTACCTGTAGCAAATGCTGTAGGGTTAGATGCCTGGAAGCATTTCCAGCATGGCAGAACTGTGTCATGACGAGAGAGGAAGAATGTCTGCTAGGGGGTTCCAAGGCTTAATGCCTGCCCTTCTGTGGATGGGGACAGGCCTACTAGGGAGCCCCATCTTTAACACCCATCCTCCCTCCTGGCCCCTCCTCTCAGGGAAGCAGCAGCCAGCACAGTGCCCGGCAGAGGGCACTGCAGAGCCTGGAGCGGTACTTCTACCTGATCCTGTTTAACTACTATCTCCATGAGCAGGTAGGTTGCGGAGGACCTGTGTCCCCTCCTCCCAGGCTCCTTCTGGGACTCCTCCACCACTCCTACCATGGTGACTGGCTTGCTGTGAAGCAGGACCCCCCCAAACTGTGAGGAGAGTAGGGGGGAAGTGAGAAGAGACCCAGATTGAGGATGGTCCCTGAGCAGGCCAGGTACAGGCCTCCTTACCAGGCCCAGCCTCTGTACCCATAGCCCCGGCATTTGATATCTTGGTCTTCTCTCCCCAACCCCTTGTTCTTGCCCTGAGCCACATTGGGTGCCTCTTACAGGCTCCTCCTGCATAGGGCAAGCAGGGAGTTCTCAGGTGGCCCCACGCTCCTAAACCCACGTCTCTCTCTGCCTTGCCTGCAGTACCCACTGGCCTTTGCCCTCAGTTTCAGCCGTTGGCTGTGTGTCCACCCGGAGCTGTACCGCCTGCCTGTGATGCTGAACTCGGCCGGCCCTATGGCCCCTGGGGACCTTCTTGCCAAGGGCTCCCTGGTGAGTGTGACTGGCCTCTGGGAATTGGGGAGGGTGGAACTGGCATGTGGGTCCTGGGGCTGAGATGCTCACCGTCCTTGCAGGAGTCTCTCATGAGCAGAATGCGGTTGTTCTCAGTTCCTCAGAAGCATTCCCAGCTTTGGCCACTGTTCTAGCACCTTCTTCTCAGTCTCAAATCCAAGGGCTTTGGGCAGGGTGCCAGGACATGTGGGTTCTGACATCTTGGAGCCTTAGCAGCCTCATCTGAGAGTTGGCTCTATCACTTTTATCCTTGTTAGAGTGGAGATGAAGCTCCAGGTGTGCACATTTGCTTTGTAAAATGTAAAGTGCCAGTTCCACCACCACCACGCCAGCCCCTGTGGGCTGGGTCCTGGCCTCTCTGTGGCTGCAGTTGGCTGCTGTAGGATCCAGGCTTGGTGCTCTCTCCACAGGGGATAGATGATCTTACCTCCCGGGATGCACTTAGCACTATCAGAGAGATGGACGTGGCCAACTTCCGGCGGGTGCCCCGCATGCCCATCTATGGCACAGCCCAGCCCAGCACCAAGGTGACTGCTCCTCAGGGCTCAGTCCACTTGTGGGGTTGGGGAGGAGAGGGCTGAGTCTTGTCACTGATGGCCTTCCTGTCCCCCAGGCCCTGGGGAGCATCCTGGCCTATCTGACGGATGCCAAGAGGAAGCTGCGGCAGGTTGTCTGGGTCAACCTGAGGGAAGAGGCTGTGTTGGAGTGTGATGGGCATACCCACAGCCTGCGGTGGCCTGGGCCCCCTGTGGCCTCCGACCAGCTAGAGGTGAGGCCTCCAGTCCCTGCTAAGCCCCTGCCTTAGAGGCCTTCTGGGGAGTTGGCCCAGGAGGGTCTTCAGAATGTCCTACCCTCCCACTGTACAGGTGGAGAAACTGAGGCCCTGGGAGGAGCATTCTCAGGGAGTGGCTGATTTGTGACTCTAGCTTTAGCACTCTGGTCTCCTCCCTACTGTAGGTGTAGTTGGGGCCTTTATGGCTCCAGGGGGTCAGGGATGGGCCTTGAAGCCAGGACTAGTCCTGGGCATAGCAGGACTGGCCTTTCAGGGCTGGTGCCCTGTGCCCTCTGTCCTGTCCTTCCCCAGACCCTGGAGACCCAGCTAAAGGCCCACCTGAGTGTGCCTCCCCCGAGCACGAAGAGCTCTTTGACCCCCAGGTTCCAGAGGTGCCTCACCACGCAAGAGGTCTTCAGCCAGCACCATGGGGCCTGTCCTGGCCTGACCTATCACCGCATTCCTATGCCAGACTTCTGTGCCCCCCGCGAGGAGGTGAGGGGCTGGGCAGGAGGCTTCCCCTCTGGCCTGGTTCAGGGAGGGAAACCACCCCAGCTCCCCGGGGGCCTGGGGCTTGTCTGGTGAAGTTGTCATATTGGGCCCACTTGGTTTATTCACGTCCCTTCCAAGCTTTCTGTGTGTGTGCACACGTTTGTTATATGTTATATGTGTGGAGGTGTGCATGTTCACCATGTGTTGTGTGTGTATTGTGTATTACAGGGGTGTGTGCGTTGGGGGCAGGCACGTTTGTGGTCTTTATGGTGTGTGTGTATGTGTGTGCGCAGCAGTCTGTTACAGACTTTGTCTCTACTGGGAGGTGAATGTGCAGAGTGCATCTTTAGAGGAGGGGTGTGAGGTGTAGGGTTGTGGGGGAGGATGGTGTGGATGCTGTGAGAGGTTTGCGTGTGGCTCTGAGGGTGTTTGCATATGGCATCAGCAGGTTTGTGTGGGACCCGTGTGTCTTTGTGGGTATCTGTGTAGTTTGTGTATCTTAAGGTACATGGATATATCCATGCCTGGTGTGTCATAGGTGGGCACTCTGTGCCTGTGTGGTGGTGGTGCCTGGGTTTGCATTTCCTCGCTCTACTCTGTGGGTTTTGCCACCTGCAGTGTGTGGCCCCTGGTGGTGTGCGCTGCAAGACACCACCTCATCCTGAGACCTGGGCTGGTCTGGCACAAGTGGGCAGCAAGGCCAGGGTTCCAGGTGCATAGCTCATAGCGGGCACACATAGGTGCATGTCCTGCCTGGCGGAGGCTGGGCCACTTTGGGCTCTAGGTGCACCCTGTGTATCGGTTTGGGGTGAGAGGGTTTACAATGGTACATGGAGTGTGGCTGTTACATACATGTGGTCTCATATGTGCCCCAGTGGCTGTGTGTGTACACAAAGGCTCCTGAACCTGACATAGCTGCTGGGACCACCATTTGGATGGGGCCCCCCATCAGGAGTCTATGCCTCTTTGAAGGCACCCACAGACATAGACCATGGTCCCCCCTTCCAGGACTTTGACCGGCTGCTGGAGGTGCTGCGGGTTGCCCTTGCTAAGGAGCCAGGCACCGGCTTCGTGTTCAGCTGCCTCAGTGGCCAGGGCCGGACCACAACTGCCATGGTGGTGGCAGTGCTGGTCTTCTGGCACATGCGAGTATGTGTGGCCTGCCGTGTGAGGGCGGGGTGGGCACACAAGCCCCAGGGATACTGGCTGTGGTGGGAAGGTGTTGTAGGGGGCAGAGACACCCTGATCCCCTCCTGACAGTCCTGTCCATCCCCCTGGAAAGGGTTCCTGGTGTGGGGGAGGGTACAGCCTGGGGGGGGGCTGCCCTTGTCCCAGCAGCTGTCCTCCCCCAGGGCTTCCCTGAGGTGGGCGAGGAGGAGCTTGTGAGTGTGCCTGATGCCAAATTCACTAAAGGCGAGTTTCAGGTGAGTATGGCATGGGGGGACCCTGGGGGTACCTTAGGGAGGGGAGGGAGAGTCCTGCCAGCAGGGCTGGGTGTCCTCAAAGCATTTCCCAACTCTGTTACCCCTTCTACCTCCTCGTATTAGAGTTTCTCCTCTTCTCATATCACTGGGTCAGTTTGGCTCTGGGCCCTGGCAGGTGGCCATTGGAGATGGGGCTGGACCCCTTCCCACCTGGCCCTGCTGCAGGGTGGCTGTGTGCCCTGGGAAGGTCACTGTTGATGACAGCCTTTCAGGCCCAGGGACCCAGCTGTGGTTGGTGACCTTGTTGGGGGGCCCCAATTCACCCTGCCCTGCTCAGTTCTTATTTTAGATTAGGGCACTAGATGGAAAGCCACTGTTGTTCCAGATTCAGTCATTCATGTGTCTCATCCCTGCCATGTGCCATGGGTCATCTTCTTTGACATTTCTAGAGTAGGTGGCAACATCCCTTCAGAGTTGGCATGTGGCAGCATGGTTAGCTCCTGCCTCCCCTCCCTGGCCACTATCTTCACGTGCCTCTGCCCTGCTCTTGAGGCCGTCCTGCCTCTGGGCCTTTGCAAATGCTGTTCTTTCTCTTGGAACCTCTTCCCTCTTCCTTCTTCTGGCTGATTCTTTGATTCTTTTCTTCTTCTTTGTTTATTGTGGTAAAGTATACATATATAACAAAATTGGCCATTTTAACCTTTTTAAGTGTACATTTCAATGGCATTAAGTGCATTTACGTAGTTGTGCAATCACCCCCAACACCCATCTATTATAAGTTCTTTCATCTTGCAAAACAGAAACTCTGTCCCGATTAAACACAACTCCTCCCTCTTCCCTACCCAGTCCCTGGCAACCACCATTCTACTCTGTCTCTATGGACTTGACTCCAGGTAACTCATATGAGTGGAATCATATAGTATTTGTGTTTTTGTGATTTTCAAGGAGCCTAATGTCCCTGAGGTTCATCCATGTTGCAGCATTTACCTGAATTTCCTTCCTTTGTAAGGCTGAATAATATTCCATCATATGGATATGCCGTATTTTGTTTATCCAGTTCATCTGTTGATGAACACTTGGGTTGCTTCCCCCTCTCAGCTGTTGTGGACGGTGCTGCTGTGAGCATTAGTGCAGGTATCAGTGAGAGTCCCTGCTTTCAGTTCTTTTGATTGTATACCAGAAGTGGAAGTTCTGGGTCATCTGGTCCTGTTTTCTATAGAAGCTACACTAGTCTGCATTCCCACCAGGAATGCACAAAGTTCCAATTTTCCACATCCTCAGCAACACTTGATTTCTTTCTTTTTTTTTTTTTTGAGACAGAGCCTTAAGCTGTCCCCCTGGGTAGAGTGCTGTGGCATCACAGCTCACAGCAACCTCCAACTCCTGGGCTCAAGCGAGTCTCCTGCCTCCACCTCCCAAGTAGCTGGGACCACAGGTGCCCGCCACAATGCCTGGCTATTTTTTGGTTGTAGCCGTCATTGTTGTTTGGCGGGCTGGGCTAGATTCGAACCCACCACCTTAGGTGTATGTGGCTGGCGCCTTAGCCGCTTGAGCCACAGGCCCTGAGCCCAACACTTGATTTCTGTTTTGTTGACAACACCCATCTTGATGGGTATGAAGTGATATCTCATTATGGTTTTCAGTTGCATTTCCCTAATGATGAGTGATGTTAAATACCTTTTCATGTGTTTATTGGCTATTTGCATATCTCTTTTAGAGAAATGTCTATTCAAGTCCTTTGCCCACTTGTTAATTTTTTTTTGTTGTTGAGTTTTAGGAGTTCTTTATATATTCTGCAAATTAATCAGTTATATGTGATTTGGAAGTATTTTCTCCTATTTTATGGGTTGCCTGTTGTTTAGGAAACACTAGATGTGTGCTTTTTCTCTGCTCTCATGCCAACACTATCAGTTATCAGCTCAGAAAAAGGCTTAGGTGACCAAATGTGGGGTGGGTTTTCCCCACACACTGAGCAGCGGGCACCAGCTTTGTGTCTTATAATTTAACTAATACACTGTCTATATGGAGGTAGTGTCAGCTCCCGTAGGGCGAGGACTCATGCCCCCAAACTGCCCCCTCCCTGTAGACACCAGACCTAAGTCTTGGTCTGTTCAGAACTTGTGACAGATCAGTACAAGTTGGGGATCCCACAGACCTCTCTTTGGGTGTGATTAATTTGGTAGAGCGGCTCACAGAACTCAGGGTTTATTAGTTTGTTTAAAGGATATTACAAAGGATGCGGATGAAGAGATGCATAGTGTGAGGCATGGGGGAAAGCGTGCGGAGCCGCCATGCCTTCCCTGGGCGCACGACCCCACAGGAACCTCGTGTGTTCAGCTGTCTGAAAGCTCTCTGCACCCAGTCCTTTTGGTTTTTTTATGGAGGCTTTATGACACAGGCATCATTGACAGCCATATAGAAATGTGATTGGACAAAAAGTGTCTGATCAAGACCCAGCAAAGACTGTTGAGACTCTTCTTGGCCTCTCTGGGCATTGTTCCTTCCTCTGGGCTACAAGATGGGACCCTCTCTAGAAGGGTCTTTTGACCCACAATCAATTTAGAATCCTGCCTCGGGCAGGTGAAAGGAAGACAGTCTCTGCACTGGGTGTGGTGGAGTCATGAGGGGGCTGACGCCTGGGAGTTACTCAGATTAACACTTTCATGAGAAAGTGGCCACTGGGAGTGGGAGGGCAAGGGTGGAGGGCAGGACACCAGTCGAGCGTGAGGGGAGGTGAAGGTCTGGGTCATATGCAGGCTGCGGAGGGTGCCGTGTGGACAGATTTGGAGGCAGGGCCCTGGGGGCGAGCCTTGCCCTCCAGGTTACTTCCCAGGCCGGCCTCAATTTCCTCAGAATGGAAGGGAGTTTATATCAGATGAGTGGTGTCCATGCTGGGTTCCCCAGAGCCAGGTGTCTGGGGGCCACTACGGGTTGGGAGGATGTCACGAGGACCTCATCATGGGCTTGTCATGTACCCCCTCCTCTGCAGCCCTAGCGTGTGACACCTATCCCTTTTATAAAGTTCCAGATGAGGTTTTGTTTGAAGGAACGTTTCATAAGCACCTTGTGTCAGCTTCGTGTTCCATAGGTGTGTGGGAGGCGGTTTTCATATCTCAGAATATAAATACAAAGAATACCACATGGCGATTTAGAGTCATAGTGGTGCATTTAATGTATCTATGTATCTTAAACATTTAAAATTATTTCTGTTCCCATGTTTATTAGAATTTTTTCCTAAAGAAAACCACTGCTTGTTGGTGGCTCTCCCTGTCGGAATTGCATGCACTCTGTAACACCTTGGGTCAGGTAGTCCAGTTTCGCTAATTGCTTTCTTAATGTGCTGTGACAGATTGAACATTTGAGTTTGTAGTGAATGAGGTATTAAATTGTGGCTTGGTGGGTCTTATGTAACAGCCTATCAACATTTGAAGATATTAGTATTTGATACTCTCTTAAAGAAAAGTTGCCTTCAGACTTTAAGTTGGAAAGTCACTGGAATATCTAAAAAAGAGTCAGAGTCCATGGATTTTAGATTGCCAGGACTTATGTTAAGAATTGTGTATTAATACAAATTGGAGTGATCGTGTACTGATCCTCAGTACAACCAAGGAAATCTCAATTATCAAAGAATAACAAAGAGACCTTGGGAATCCCAGCTGCAGAGATGTCCAGGAAACCCCCTCGGTGGCCCCAGCCTGAGACCTGGGGAGCAGGCCGGGCTCTGTGTCAGGCCTATGGCTTTGCCAAGCGTGGTGCTGGGTCCCAGGCTCCCTACCCGTTCCCGCTGGTTCCTGTCTGCTCACACCCTCCTCTGGCCCTAGGTGGTAATGAAGATGGTGCAGTTGCTGCCCGATGGGCACCGTGTGAAGAAGGAGGTGGACGCGGCACTGGACACAGTCAGTGAGACCATGACGCCCATGCACTACCACCTGCGGGAGATCATCATCTGCGCCTACCGCCAGGTAAGCCTGCCTTGCCACGTGCCCTCTGGTGTGCGCAGCCCAGGTATGGCTGACGGGAGTGTGAGGTGGCTGGGGTCCTGTGGGCCCATCTTTGACTCTCAGTCAGTTTTCCACCTTCTGGAGGTAGAGGTGATCCCTGAAATGGACACCTCCCCAACCCCAGTCACTCCCACCTAATGCCGAAGTATACGGTAGGATGTATGCAGGGCTGATGTTCAAGTGTTTAACAGCTGCAGGGGTCAAAGAGGTGGCCAGCTGGAGTGAGCACCCAGGCTGCCACCGTGCCAGCTGTTAACCTCTAGGTTTTAGATTCTTGGGGACCCAGGGCTTCTGGGCAGGAGGTGGGTGGGTGGATAGAGGCCCTCCGGTCTTGAGTAGTAGGCACTTCAGCATGGCCAGTGAAGCAGCTTACACCTAGTATTACTGTTGGCCATCTAGTGGCAGCATGAGAACAGTGCAGCACCTGTCCTGTTTCCTGGAGCCTTTTTGTTGGGTACATAATGTATACATAAGAGAATATGTGCAAGAATGCACGGCAATTAGTAGTCAGCTGTCAAGGTTAAGAATGAGAGAGGAGTGATTTTTCCCTAGGAAAGCTGAGTAAAGGAGAAGCAAGGACATAGGGTAATGGAACATGTGAAGTGGCCAGACAACGGTACAAGCAGGAGAGAGAGGGGGGTAGAGCAAGTCTCATCTCCTTAGACAGACATCTCAGCTGCTCTAGCCTAAGCTACTAGCTGATGGTCTCAGCTGCCTGCACTGCTGATTTCTCCATGCGGGATAGTCACGCAGACATTCCTCTGACTGAGCACCTCACCCTGAGATGAAAGGTCTGTGAGGAATTCAGCCTGCCCACCTCCCACATATTGTAACAGCTGATACTGCTGTTAAAATTCTGTGTGCTGGCAGTCATCCCAGGATGTGTGTCTGTGCTGCCTCAGGATGAGGTTGGCCCTCAGAGGGGCTTTTTATGGTATGCTCAGTTAGAAATTGTTTTTGAATAACTCATTAAATGATAAAAATAATGTTTCTGTAACAGCCCAGATTTTATATTAAAAAATGTGGATTTTTAGCTTGTCTGGAAAGAATGTGCCTTGAGCCTACGGGCTGGTCCCCAGC